AAATTCATATGCATGTACTTCTAGTTACGAAATGACAAGGACAAATGGCAGCATACGATTTTAATCTAACAAACATGAACTATTCCTCATGCTCTGAGTGAGTTCTCTATCAGAGGCTATGTCTTGTAAGTTTGTTGTTTTTTTTTTAAGATGGGAAAAAAGGTGCATGAGGCAGTATCTTGTTCTACTGAACAAAATAAGAGTTTCCTCTGTGTCATACTTTCCCATTTTCAACCCCTTTGGAAGGACTGTTGAGGAGCCCTGTTGGCTTTGTAGGCTAAGCACTGGCCTGCTAACCAGAGGGTTGGTGGTTTGAAGCTACCAGCCACTCTACTGGAGAAAGATGACACTGTACTCACATTAAAGATTTACAGCCTCAGAACCCCTATGGGCAGGAATGCAGGGAAATGGACATTTAGCAACTTGGTTCCATTGGGAAGGACAAGGGGTGGGAGGGATGTATCTTGAGCTTCAGAGAATCAGGTATTCCTGAACACAAAAACTAGCACGACAAAAGCATGACATCTCCAGGTGTGAACTATTTAATTTTTTAGACAGAAGGTATATTTCCGATAAAATCATGTAGGACAAGAAAGATTCTTCCTTTTTATCACCTCGGAATCTTTCAGTCTGTATTAAAAAAACTATTAAGTGGGAAATAGCATAATTACTTTTCAACTTGGTCTCACTGAGGCCACTAGATGACTTTAAAGTATCTCAAGCAAGGTTAAAGATATACCACAAGTAAATGAAAAAAGGGGCTAGAAATGATTTTAGCCTCAGCTTTTTCTTGCTCAAATCACTCCTTTCTGTACACATGGAGCTATAAAATAAGAGGGTTAGTACAAACATGTAATTAAACTTCTACAGTAGATTTTCAGATTCAAAAAACAAGATTACTTTCATATCAGTGTTATTTTGGGGGGATGCTGGTAAAAATTCTGCCACCTGCTGGTCACAGGGTTGGGTTTTGTTCTATCTGGTTATTTTTGAAACTCTGCTGACTTCCAGTAAGATGTCCAAGTTGGTAACTCAGGAAATCTGACTCTTTCCTGCATGGACAACAAAAAGATGAGGCAAGGCAATAATCTTAGAAATTACTAAGAGCAAAATCAGACACAGATTGCAGGAAGAAATAAGGGTGTGTGTAGAGATAAGAATCAATTAGAGATTAGGCTAAGTGGTTCCAGAACCTCACTGCCGAAGCCTCGCCTAGGGGTGTGTGTGTGTGTGTGTTTGTTTTTCAGGATTAACAAACAACAACCTGCCAGCTTTTGACCAGCATCAAGAAGACAGGAATGTCCTCCTCTCCCTACTGCTCACTGATGACCAGCTAGAGAACCTCTCATCTGAGCAGGCAGGAATCTCCCGGACCATTCTGACTCTGGCACTGTGAAAGCTCGTGTGGGTGCAGTGTGTGAGAGCTTTCAGAAAACATGGACCAGCTTTACTGTAAGTTAGCAGTCTTCCAGCTCCCAAACCAAGCCCACAGGTGAGTCACCATTCACAGAGTGGCATATTACACAGCGCTGAAAGACAATAAAAAACTTGAGACACAACATGGATGAGTCTAAGGGCATTATGCTGAGTGAAATAAGCCAGTCACTACAGGACAAATATTGTATGAGACTACTGCTATTTAAAAAAAAACAACAGTACCCCCAAACCTACCACATGAATTAGAGAAAGATTAACTCAACGACTTCATCTTACTTGGATTCACAATCAATGCACCTGGTACTAGCAATCAGGAGATCAAGAGACATATTGTACTAGGAAAGTCTGTAGTCAGGGAACTCTAACTTATTGAGGAGCGATGATGTCATCTGAGGACTAAGGTGTGCCTGATTCAGGCCATGGTCTTTTCATTCACAAGCTATGCATCTGAGAGCTGGATGACTATGGATGACAGAAAAATTGATACCTTTGAACTGTGGTGTTAGAAAGGAGTGGTGAGTATCCCATGGACAGTGCAAATATTTGCCAAAAGCACAAACAGCTATATCTTGTTGAAGGTGCAGCCAGAATGCTCCTTAGAGGCAAAGGTAACGAAGCTTGGAGAGGAACATCATGCTTGGGAAGGTGGAGGGTCAGTGAAGGAGAGGAAGACCTCCGATCAAGTAGACTGACACAGTTACTGCAGCAATGGGCTTGAGGGTATTAGAGATTGGAGGATGGCACAGGATAGTACAGGGTTCAGATCTGTTGTTCATAGTGTCATACTCAACTAAATGGTACCTAACAACAACAGTATGGTTACAAGGCAAGGGAGAGTAAAAAATGAATGGATAAGTCAGTGAACAATTTATTAGAGCAGGTGAAGGATGGTGTAAAGTGAATGGATGATTAGACATTGTGTGTATTATAATTAGCAATGCGGAACAGGACATACATGATTTGGCTAGGAAATAAAATGCTAAGGAAAGGTTCACACACACAAACCACTGTGGAGAATCTTCAGGGATGAGAAGGGAGGGAGACGGAGCAGAGATTAATGATAGACAGGTAGGGTGAAGGAATAGGCAAGGTACAGTGAGGATTTAATGAGATGTAATAAATAGCACTGAATTTTGTAAATAAACTAGTAGAAAATTGGCTGCTGCTGAGTTGGAAGCCACTTACAGCTAACCCTCTAATGGGTCTCTGAGGCCGCAAATCGCGGAGCAGAAGACTGCTCATCTTTCATTCACGGAGTCACTAGTGGATCCCAACCACCAGAGAAACTTGGTTGGTATGAGCAGCACGACTACCTCTAATGACTACATTACCAGAGCTCCCAAGTTAGAAAATGCAGAGGAGGAAAGGATAAGTGCTACCTGGTTGTTAAATGAGAGGGGTCCTGCCTCTCAGGATCTCTCAGGGGACAGCAATGGGTATCTGAGGTCTTTTCATGGTAAGCCAAGTGAACTGTGCCTCCAAGTGGTCACAGCACAAGGTCAACAGTTGGATTACTCAGGTAAGGAAAGGAAAGTGACTGACCCAAGATTTCTGGGCACTCAAGCAGAGCACATCTATTAAGCAGCATGGCTGAATTTGTATTAGAGGGCAGTTTGGCAGCCTTTAGAAGGAGAAAGGATTTCATTCTAAAGTTAGCACAGTAGCCAAAAGCTGAAGCCTGTGGAACCAAGGCGTGTTGTCTGCTGTGGCAGATGAGATGGATTTCAGCAGCCAGAGTCTAAGAAGGGAATGATGTGGAAGCTCTAGCAGTAAGTACAGACATTTAATTAGTGGACTCGAAAACAGGTAAAAACCCAAATTACCTGAAAAAATGTGGAAAAGAATCTCCTCACAAACAAGTGGAGTTCCAATATGGGATGGGGAAAAAGGTGGAGCGCATGCCTTCTTAGACTGTATGCCTTGTCGGTACTTATGTTGAGTACACGCTAATAGTCCTTGCCAGAGTAGAATCTGACCCTAATTCTAGTGCTGTTGTTAGGTGCCATCACTGATTCTCACTCAGAGGCCCTATGTCCAACAGATGGAAACCCTGCCTGATCCTTCGCCATCCTTACAACCTCAGCTGTACTTAGGTCCTTTGTTGCAGTGACTGTATCACTATTACTGTGTTTATATATATGTTATTTGGTGCTGTCGAGTTGGAACCAACTCATAGTTGGCCCTCCAGCAGGTTTTCAGAGGTTATAAATCACATCTGAGGAGACTATCCGTATTTCTCCCTTAGAGCAGCAGCTGGTAGATTTGAACGACCTGCCTTTGGGTTGGCAGTGCAACTCTTCACCCACTAGGCAATAAAAGTTCCATAAACACACACACACCCCAAAGACACTCTGACACTTCTTTAAATGATAAAAATGAAGTTATAGTCAACTATTTAGAATTTAGGTATGAATTCTACAGTCTAATTTTATAATTGAGAAAGCAAATTTTGATCTGTCAGTTTGCTGAAGATCTATAAAGAAAAGATCTCTGGAAACTTGATCATGTTATCAATGAAAAGACCCAGTGATTTTGCCATTAGAGCTCTTCTTAAGATAAATGAAACCATTGTATATTGTTTATGAAAGAAGTTTTCATTGTTTTGAAACTTGAGGGGGATAAACGTAGGTTACTTTCCCCTCAACTTTGTTTTAAGAAAAATGCCAGCCCATTCTTTCTCCTAGTTCTCCCTTAAGAGAAAAATCTGTCAAGGTGGTCCAAAAAGTGGTTCTAAGCAGCCTGGATAAGACATGAAACTTAGTTTTCTTTCCAGAACCAAGAATAAGGTACCAGTGTTTGTGTCTGTGTTCCTTTTACCAACTACTTGAATACAGTGATTCATGAATGGATGGGGCAGATGGCCATTCCAGAAGCATGTTGTTGTTGTTATGTGCCGTCGAGTCGCCTGCGACTCATAGCGACCCTCATAGCGACCCTACGACTCATAGCGACCCTACTTTTTTAATATCAAATCACCATCACAGAAGCATAAGTTTTCTTATATCAAACATGAAAATTCTAAGAGTGCAAAGAAGTTTACTTTTCTTTGTTGAGGTTAAAAATAAGCTCTTACTTTCTCTTATAGAATTATGTTCTATGCTCTAGGTAAATTACCAACCTGCTAGCATCATTCCTGATGTCCCCTAGGGTCTGATCCATTAAATATTAACTCTGTTTCTACAATCTTAAAAGGAGCAGTCACACGTCAGCCTAAATGCTGAGAAAAGGAACAGGTCGCTCTTTTTAACAGGTGGATCCTTCCTCAGGCTTGCCTGGAGAGCACATCTCTCAACCCAACATTACCAAACTTCTAAAAACCCCTTACAGAACACGTCACATTCTATTGGAACTCATCAAAGGATGGAAATACTTCCTTCAAAGAAAAATCAGAGGGCTTATCCAAGGGAGAAGAAAAGGAGGCAGACATCTGCCTCATTCATTTTTCCACCCGCTGTAACATAACAAGGCAGCCCATGGAAACTCCCTCAATAAATACTGAGAGAGAAGAAATCAGACTGCTCAGGACTTTGGCTTTTTCTGTGCTGTCACACTTGTAATTTCTCTTTGGCTCTCATTTGTATCTGACAAATCACTATGTATCTTTCTAAACAGTTAGCCATCGTTTTTCCAGAGACTCCTCCCATTTTGATCAAGTGTCTCAGTATAACTGAATAACCTCATCCCACTCGGAAATAGGCCAGATTCCATTGGGCTGCACATTGGGGGGAGAGTTCTTCCAGTCCCACGTCTTCACAGGAATCTTCCAGGTCTTACCATAGTTGGCTTCAATGTATTCAATGGTTTCACAAGGCACATGAACCTTCATGTCAACAAATTCTGTCCAGCACAGTGTAAACTTGGGAAACAGGTATCTGCAGTCAAACAGAAGCAGGGTGGGGATAGGTTAGGCTTCAACAGAGAAGGTTTGAGCTACAGAGAACAAATGCTAGTGAGGACAACTGTCTTCTATTTAACAGCTCCTGTTGTACTGGCGCATTGGAATTGACTCATAGCTGACCCTCGGGCGGTTTTCAGAGGCAGTTAATCACACAAGAAGAGATGGCCCATCTTCTTCCCATGGAGCAGCTGGTGGATTCGAACCTCATGCCTTCAGGATTGCAGAACAGCTTTATAGTAGGTTACCAGAGCTCCCTAAACAGCGCCTAGGGATATTTTATTGTTTTTAACTGTCTAGCACATTTTTCTTCTTTTTCTGTTAAGAACACCCCAACTTTTTAATATATGTATATATATGTGTGTATATGTGTGTGTATATATATATATAGAATATATATATAAAATAGTTACATGCATGATCTTATTTGGCTGTGGCTGAACATACTTACAAAGTATAAAGGCCATGGATGTCAAAGGAAACATGTCAACAAATATCATATTTGCATTGCAGGGAAAGCAAATGGAATGGCTCACATTTCAAAGGTTTTTCTTAACACTTATTGTCCGGTGAGTTTTCAGAGGTTGTAAATCCCACTGTGAAGACTGCCCATCTTTCTCACAAGAAGTTTATAACTCTACTATTTTAGAGTTTTCCAAGAAACATCTCTTCACAACACAAGAACATTCAGTGATGAGATTTGAAGAGGCAATCACATGAATGACAAGATTTTAAGTTTTCACAGGATTAAAGGAAAAGAATCAGAGAAAAACCAGTAGCCCAAGCATAATCATACTGTGAAAATGGTATCTAACTGGGATGTTCTCCAAGAAAAGACCGGTTCTTGTACACTGTGCGCTTTTCAAGAGAGCGTATGTTTTACCATCAGTTGAGTGCAAAATCATACACACAGAAAAGGAGAGGCTGAACAAATTCTAAAGAAAGCAACAAGCCCCTTCTACTCAAACCAATGGATTCTGGCATTTAATGGACAATCCCAGCTGGCTTCTGTGAATAGATGGCCAAGGCAAAGCTCATAACTGAGAAAGAAATAAGATACAGCTTAGCTCCACCATCTGCTGCTCCCAGTTGTACTCCGCACACTCGTAATCATGGCACTGCTTATTTTGTCATCAGACACATCCATCCATCACTAGCCTCCAGCCTCGCCAATCAGATGCTGGTCAGCAGAATGCCCACCTGTTCCATTCTGTCAAGTTGACAGACTGAAGCTACAATGAAGCAGGAATCTAGTATACCTAGTAACACAGGCCAGGAAACTTTGCTCTCTCTTTTAAATATCACTCTCTACAGTCTCATCCACAGTTAGCCATATAAAAATTCTCAGGTCCAGGCTGGAGAGGGTAGATGTAAAAACTATCAGTTTTATTAAAACAGTGTTTTGAACTGTGAATATATGAGTAAAAATAGGCTAAAGAAGCCTAAGTATATAATATGAAAATAACCCAGAGATAACTGCTACTTCTTGTCCCACGCAAAAACATCATGAAACTTTGTGGTTTGCTGTTCCCAAACATTTCATGCAATGCATTCAGTGAAAAGAAAATTCCAGGTTCCCAGGAGAAGAGGAAAGATAAACAAACCATAAATTGTGAAAATTGGCAATAAAAATGGGAGGAAGAAGGGAGTGAGTGACATCGAAGAGCACCTGCCATGTACTCTGTCCAGGCTATGGAGAAAGAGTGACCAAACAGGAAATGACTCCTGGGTCTGCAGTGCTACTTAGGCTTTTAAAACTGATTACTTGGTGGGGGCGGGGAGATTGTATACCAATGAAAGAATTTTTCTTTTACTTTTCATGAGAAGAGTGAACTGGGCGGGGAGGGGTGGGCAGGAAGGAAAAAGCAACAATGAATGAATGTAAATCCAAAATTTATGTAAACATTCATTAAAATAAAAAACAAAAAACAAACCCAAAACCTGATTACATTCAGCGCGGCCATTTGTGCCTTAAAGCCCTTTGATAGAACACAAAATGTGGACAGATCTAAATTCAGATTAACTCAAACCAAACCCCCTGCCATCAAGTTGATTCTCACTCCCAAACACTCTACAGGAAGGAGCAGAACTTCTCCCAGGGCTTCCAAGGCTGTAAATATTTATGGAGGCGGACGGCTGCATCCTTCTACGGTGGAGCAACTGCTGAGTTTGAATAGTCACCTCTCTGGCGAGCTGCCCACTGCTCTGTCCACTACACTACCAAAATGCACTACTGTTGAGTCTGCTCTGACCTTCCACTGCGTTACTGATACTGTAAGTCCTTACATGAAGAGAGTACCCATCTTTCTCTTACAGAGGGGCTAGTGGATTCAAACTGTCTACCTTTTGGTTAGCAACCCAAAGACTACACACTACACCAGCAGGGCTCCTTAATTTCAGACTAAAGCAACTCTAACTCAGAAGATAAATTTAAGGGATTTTAAGATTTTATCACAAATAAAGTTCTTCCACTCATTTTCAATTCCTTACCAATTAATTTTATTATTGTATAAACAGTAGATAGAACTAAGTTAGTAGATATTAGTAGATAACAGTTCCCCCCCCCACACACCCATGTTGTTGTTGCTCCTTAAAAGCTATAAAATTTCTTACCGGTGCTAGAATAAACTATCTCATCTGGTTAGTTATGCAGGTAGCCTCTGACTTAGGACATACTACAGTTGTGACCACCTGTACCTACAATGGCTTTTTTTTGGTACTCTTATCATTAGTAAAATATGTATTACACACAGTGTTTAAGACGTCTATCTGTAGATAAAAGGGTCTGGACTAAGAAATGTACTGATAAAGTAAAATCAAAGGCAATAATAATGAAAACAAAAGCAAACAACAAAGAGATCTGACACATCACACTCAACTTGTGGAGTGGTCAGAAGAGAACAAGACTACTTATACAATCTCAAGAGGTAATTGCTAAGCAAAACAGAAGCTCTTCAACTGTCCCAGGCATACATTTTTCTGATTATGACTCATTAGTTAGGCTAATCAGACAGATACACCATCAATTACAATAGAACTGGACCTTTTAAAACCTAAACATAAGAGCTGAAGCATCAGAGACATTTTTTTCAAGAAAAACAGCCAAATTATCTATTCTCACCACCAATTTTGTCTCCAAGTCAGTTGCCTAGGTAGCTGTCTACCAAATTCCTTGGCCTAGATAAGTAAGTGCTTCCAGGGTCGTGTCTATATGGTGAAAAACAGACAGAGAGACCACCAGAACTCTATCAGTGTTCTGTACATTCCAGAAGCCTTGCTATCTGCTGGTGCCTTCATTGCTTGGATAGTTTCATTTGGTACTACTGGTTTTTGTTTTGTTTTTTTCTTGTTATGTACCATCATATCAGAGCTGACTGGTACAGGAGATTGGCCCTCCTTCTCCAATAGAACATCTGGTAGATTTGAACTTTGTGACTTTGGGATTGCAGCACAGCTTCTTGGCAGTAGGCCACCAGAGCTCCCCTCAAAAGGCACTCCTCTCCCCTTGTTGTGTACCATCAAATTGGATTCAACTGGCACAGGAGGAGATTGCCCCTCCTTTACCAGTGGAGCATCTGGTGGATTTAAACCGTGCCCTCGGGATTGCAGTGCAGCTTCTTGCCACTCGGCCACCAGCGGTCCCTTGGTACTATTGGTTTTTGATCACAGGCTAACGCCTGCAATGGCTGAATGAAGATCAATTATTTTGGGTACAGGAACTCTGAATTCCTCCCGTCATTTCTTGAGAGCTCCAGTGTTGCTAATTATGTTGTTGTTATGTGCCCTCGAGTCGCTTGCGACTCACAGTGATCCTATGTACAACAGCCCTAAACTCCACTCTGTCCTGTGCCAATCGCACTGTCTCTGACATTTCCATTCCAATTACCCCAGTCACTGAATCAATCCACCTCATAGAGGGTCTTCCCCTCCTGCGCCGTCCCTCCACCCTCCCAAGCATGATGACCCTCTCCAAGGACCGGTCCCTCCTTACAACATGTCCAAAGTATGTTAGACGTAGTCTCAGAATCCTTGCCTCCAGAGAGCCGCCCGGTTTAACCCTCTTCAGGATGAATCTATTTGTTTTCTTAGCAGTCCATGGTACACTCAATACTATTCTCCAGCACCACAGCTCAAAGGCATCAATTTTTCTTCTATCCTCCTTAGTCATTGTCCAACTCTCTGATGCATAACAAGTGATAGCAAAGACCATGGCCTGAATCAGACGCACCTTTGTCTCCAGAGAGACACCACTGCTCTTCATATGTCTATAAAATCTTTCAATATTGCAACTCAGGTTTGAATTTTTCTTTTCTTCACACACAGGCACATCTACACAGAGAGTAGCTTTATAAAACATGCTGGCTAATGAAAACTTATAAGGCCTGTCCAGCTGCTAAAAATGTGTAAGGAGTCAAAGTCTTAAGGGAAGCAACACAACTGTACTTGGTAATACAGAACACTGCCCGCTCATACATCATCTACTTCTTGAACAAATAAAAAGGAAGATCCCATTCCTCGCACTTACGCTTAAACATTTTATCTTCTAGGTCTCTAATAAACAAAAGAACCCTATCCTGTCTCAGGCTCCGCAAGGTTCATCTTTGATCTCGGAAGAATTTTATCAAGCACAATTTGAGAGTACTATATATATCCACTAGATCTGTAATTTACCTTCTGTTTTTGTCAATATAATATTATCAGTTAACTACTTGCTCTACTCTACTGAATCTTACTAAGAAGACAGGCAAACTCTGTACATTAGCATGATGTTAGCAAGGTGCTATGATTACTCTGCTGCAATAGTTTTACTAGTAGCTGTACTACTTAGCCATTTCTAATTTAAGGATAAGGCATTCTGGTGGCGTAGTCCTCAGGGAGTTACACTATTAACCCAGAGGTGGTGCCTCTCAGGTGGTTTGAATCGCCCTGCTGTTCCACGGGAGAAAGATGGGCAATGTCCTCCCGTGTGACTGACAG